AAAAATTTTACTTCATTTGGAGCTCTACAACTGCAGTTATGAAAAAGACAAATACAACTAGAATTGAAAACCTAGATGCATAAATCCATTTTCACAGCTAAAACTTTAAACTAAAACCTGAAATATTATAGATCTACTGCATAGAAAATTTCACAAAGAATCCAAAAAGTCCTCATTTGCTATTTTACGAATTTCCTATGATTTATTATGAATTTCCAAAGTTCCAGCTGATTTCCAGCACATAGGTCCTTATCGTCACTATTCATCTGAGTCTACGGTTCTGCAGAAAACCCCCTGGACTTGTTTCTCTTCTCGCGCGAGGTCCTCCTCTCCTTCTCTGGCCGAGCAGAGCAGAGGAGCTCGTCGGAGCTCATGATTCCGGCCACTGCGGTGCTCGTCGGCGACAAAGGAGGGGTGATGCGGCTGCGCCGGGCTCGCACGCGCCCGTGGGAGTCCTCAACACGGCCGGAGGTGGCTCGTGGCTGCCTGACCACGGTGACCGGTGGTCTGACGGACGGCAAGCAGGCAGCAGCAGTGACTGTGTGATGAGGGCGAGCGGTGGGCTGCTGCCCTAGGCAAGGAGGAGCGGCGCAAGAGGCGGCGAAGGTGTTATGCACACGAGAGAGACGGAGGGGCCCGCAGAAAGGTCGGGAACCCGCACCGGGCGGCGCCTGCCGCCTGGCGGCTCCATCGACGGAGCAAACAGACGGCCAACAGGATTGGGGAAGGGGCGCATCGGGGGCAGCGCGAAGAAAGGAAGGTGGTCCTACGGTCCATTTGGGTGGAGGGAGGCCGTAGGCAAGGAAACGCGACGGCAGCGAGCTTGAGTCGCCGGCCACGGCGGACGGCTGCACGGGAGCGAGGAGAGCGCGAGAGGGAGCGAGCAGGGAGTGGAGAGGGGGATGGAGAGGGCGTGCTGGTGCCCCTCCTCATCGGCAGCAGGGCGCAGGGCGCGTGGAGGCAAGGGCGAGTTCAGTGGATGGCATGGAGCGCACGTGTCACCCATGGTGGGGGCACGGCCGTCGCATGAAGGCCACGGAGGCAATTCCTCGAGCACGTGGCGGGCATCAGCGTAGGCAAGGTGGGGAGCCAATTTGGGCCGGCTCGGGTTCGAATTGGACATTGGGCCAAAAACAAAGTTTGCTCACCTTGGCCTGCTCTACATATTTCATTTAGTTACCAAGGTCATTAGGGAAGTAGATTAGCGGCTAATTAGCTCCTAAAATGCCACTGTCAACAACTTAATAAGGATTAAGCCTTGCTCGGTTAGGACTCCAATTTGTTGGTCAAAACATGATCAAACTTGACCCAACTTTTTACATGCTCTTCTCTAATGAAATATCTCCAACTTCTATTTTTGGGTCAAAGCATGATGCTTAATAAAAACTCAAGAACGCGGCATGCCAACCTAATGACAATGAATTCCAGACTTGGAATAATTCTAAGTGCTGAAAACAACAGCAAATTCGATCTTGTGACCTCGATTTGACTTACTTCCAAGCTGATCTAGCTCTTAGTCCAAAAACAAAGTTTGTTCTACATGATATGGACTACAACTTTCATTTAAGGTCCAACCTCAAAACTGGTATAGAACCTACTGTTCTACTTTGACCAAAGTAGGATCACGATGAAGCTTAAATTATCCTTTTTTGATCCATTGGAGCATTTTCTTGGCATTTGCCCAACATGAACCTTTCATGACTTTTGTTGTAGAGTTCATCTAGAGTCATTTTGGCAAGGTTGCAAGGTTTGGTTGACATCTCATGTTCTCATTCACTTAATAGTGCAATTCAAGCACTTAGTAAAATCATTCCAACAAGGATATAACTTATTATTTCATGTGACTTTTTTATTCCAAATTTCATGAAACTTTTCGAGTGCCCAATATAGATGGGTATTGATGTGAGACACATGAAGATATTCCAATAACACCAGCCAAGCATATATCTTGAAAAGGGCCTATATGTAGAGCAAGGGTGCAATATCCAAGTTTAGGTTGGGGCTCATTTCCATAGGTTTGACCTTAACATCTTCATCATTACTTAATATGCCATGTTTGAGCTCAAACCCATTGCTTAACTGGTGGCAAACACCTGGGGTGTTACACTACCATTCACAGTCTCATAGATCTCATCAAAATCAGCCCACACAGCATATTTACGCTTACCAACAGCAGGTCCAGAAGAGGTACCAATACCAGCAACAGATGGAGTTGAGCCATTGGAGCAGACCGAGGTCCTAGTCGCCGTCGCCCCTTCACCACCGCCGCCGTCCAGACTGAACAAGGCAGCAGCGTCCTCTTGGGGGTCGTCGTCGTCCTCAGGTGCCAGGCCTGCCACGATGAGATCGTCGTTGCCGGTGAGCGGCCAGACGATCTCGTCATCAGCACCAGCCATGGCACCCTCGACCGCTGAGGGCTCTCCAGCACTGTTCCTCAACGGTGCGTGGGGCCGCCTTGGTCGCTCTATGCCACAGCTAGAGGACGACGCATCGGCTACTGACCTGTGTAAAGACATGGAGGAGGAGGAAAACAATATCAGAATAGATCAATCACCATTCATCAATGGAAGAAGAGGAGGGTTTGGGTTAGGGTTAGAGATGTACCAGCGCAACCGGAGCCCGGTGCCAGAGAAGACGAGGGCCACCTAGAGAAGATGACACACCGGTTAGAAGGACGGCAAGCGGCGGAGGAGGGGCAAACGGGGACACGAACTTACATAATCACCGAGATCTAGAGGGGAGATAGGGATAGGGAGAAGGGAGAGGCGAAGAGAGAGCAGGGAGGGGATCAGGCAGGAGGAGTAGGAAGCTGCTTGCCGGTGGTAGGCGGATCGTCGAGGTCACCTCACCGGAGTCGGGGAGGACGGAACCGAGACTGCGAGGGCGAGAGTCGTGAGACCGCGAGAGCGAGGCGAGGCGAGACCACGAGAGCTACTGAGCGAGGATGAAATGAAATGAGCTAGAGTTTGGGGTGTGAGGGAGAGCCGCCGCGGCGTGCGCTCTTATATGAGGGGAGGGGGAGGTGGGGATGCTGGGCCGTGCTAGGCCTTGGGGAGGGGAGGAGGAGTGAGGAGGGGGAGGGGGAGGCTTGGCCGCTGCCGGGCCGACCGTCGCAGCCCGGGTCATGTCGTGCTAGCCCATGGGCCTGAGCAGCGTCCCAGGCATGGCCTGCTCCCTTGGGTCGGGCCAGCCCGGGCTCGCTGACCATCGGGTCGTGCCGTGCTCGTGTCGGTCTAAAAAAGCAGGCTTTGTGTCGTGCCGTCGTGCCTCGGGCTATATGGACATTTATAGCTACCTATCTTCTAGTATTGTACTCTCTCTGTCCTAAAATAAGCTAAATTATAGCTACATAAATAAATATTGTCTAAATACATAGCTAGTATTATTTTATTTATTTTGAGACAGAGGGAACAAGTACTGCTGCCATAGTGCCATCTGCACTTTAGTGACACACCGCACACATGTTTTCATTTATATTTATCCAAATTCGCCAAATATCGGGTCGCTTCCCGGGGGGCAGGGAGTTACATCTAAGGTGGTGTTTGATAGAGCTTCTCCAAAACTAAAATGGCTCCGTCTCTTATGATTTTCACTGAGAACGACTCATTTTGCTAAACGTTCGGTAGAGCTCCTTTGGAGGAGCTGGAGCCGGAAAGAAGCCCTACCAAACAGGCCCTAGGTAAACACAGGGAAACATAAAGGTCGGAGGAATTTGAATGAATTGTAGTGTGCTAACATGTTTGTTAAGCGAAAACGGTAATCCTAGCGCCCAGACGTCCGGCGCGCGACATGTCCGGACGCCGCGCCCTTTCCAACCCCCCCCCCCTCCGCGGGAATAGAATGGATCCCGCCCGCCCCCCACGTCATCCTGTTCCCCCACCGCGCCCCTTGTCCCAAGAGCACGAAAACACTTCAAGTGTAATATCGCAAAACATATGGAAAAACTATATAGTGCAACATCGGAATATGAATACTACAACATGGAAAAAATATGTAGTGTAACATCGAAAAACATGTACTGCAACATCGAAAATTATGTACTGCAACATCGAAAAAACATGTATTGCAACATCGAAAAATATGTACTGCAACATCGAAAAAATATGTGCTACAACATCAAAAATTATGTACTACAACATCGAAAATTATGTGCTGCAACATCGAAACATATGTAATGCAACATCTCAAATAGTAGTACCTCAACATCGCAAAAGTCAAACCATAAAACATGGGAATGGAAACATTCGAAAATCATCTGGTGCAACAACCCAAAAATCCCATTGAAACATTCGAAAATCATCTATTGCAACATAAAAAAACCCATTGCGACACAGAGAAACAACAAAAAAGGACGTACAAACAACATGGGATGGGTTCGAGGTACAGGCTGCTCTGGCCCTGGCCCATCACCTTCGAGCTCTTCCGGAGGGAGGAGGGAATATGACAGATCGAGAGGACCGACCTACCTCGTCAGAGCCGCCGCCGTCGTCCTCGTCTCCGGTGGGGGAGCAGGAGCCGAGTCACTGGGGAGCACAGGGTCGCAGAGGGGTGAGGGAGGGAGCGCCGGCGGGCTGGCGGGGCGACACCGAGGTGGCATGCAGTGTCCATCCCGGCGCGCAGGTGGGACAACAGTAGAACCAGAGGGGGCGCGAGTGCTGCGGGAGTGAACGGTACGAGAGGATAAGGACGAGTGTGGGAGCAGCGTGCGGCACAGGTGGGTTGGTTAGACGTTCCGTAGTGGTTTGTGTGCGGGTCCGGACGGAACGGACATTATAGCAAGCCAAAAGAGACTCGATTCCCATGCCTGTATTTTGTCCCGGAGCGTGCGAATGGAGATTAACGAACGAAAAAAAAAAAATCGGACTGCGGGCTCCTGGCGAGAGCGAGAGGCCAAGCCAAGGTGAAGGTCTACTGCAGGTCTGCAGCTGTGCGGAAAGATTAGGCTGCTCCGTGCAGCGGTGACCGTTGAGCAGAGAAGCTGCTGTCCGGTGGATTCGTTCATGGCCACCGCCCCTCCTTGCACCTGTGCCTGCGGCGCTCCGTCCCCATCGCTGCGATGCCCTCTCGCCCTGCCGCTCCCCTTCTCTTCCCCTCATCCCGCCGTCCGGCTCGCCGCCCCGCCGCTTCTCGCGCGCCGTCTCGCCGTGTCTCGTCCAAGGGCAGCGTCAGCGCTGGAAGCCCTCGTGCTGGAGTCTGACGACGAGGATGAGGACGAGAATGAGGACGAGGAAGCGGAGGAGTCCGGGGCAGGCCTGTTCCAGGGTGATGAGTGGGCGGCGACCGCCGACGAGAGGGACGCGGTGAGGTCCCCCGAGCTGGAGGTGTTCGAGCTCGAGGAGCTGCCGGAGCAGTGGCGTCGGTCCAGGATCGCCTGGCTCTGCAAGGAGCTCCCCGCCTACAAGCACTCCACCTTCACCCGCATCCTTAACGCCCAGAGAAAGTGGATCACCCAGGACGACGCCACCTACGTCGCCGTCCACTGCCTCCGCATCCGCCACAACGACGCCGCATTCCGGGTTAGTGTTCAGTACCCCGCACTCTTACCTCTCTGGCTCCCTCCAATAGTCCCATTACCTGTTTGATCAACTGCTTCTTACATTGAGTATATCTATGTGCTTACAAGCTGAAGTTATTGCTCACCAACTGTTCGGTGAATCGCCTAATAGTTATATAGGCACAATCGGTTGACATGCATGATTCGATAAATGCTTTCAGGTGTACAGCTGGATGGTACGGCAGCACTGGTACCGCTTCAACTTTGCGCTAGCCACAAGGGTGGCCGATTGTCTTGCCAGAGAAGGCAAGGTTGGGGAGTGCCGAGAGGTGTTTGACGCGATGATCAAGCAAGGCCGAGTGCCGGCTGAATCCACCTTCCACATATTGGTGGTTGCATATCTCAGTGTTGCTAGGGGGCGTTCTCTTGAGGAGGCATGCACCATCTACAACCAGATGATACAGATGGGTGGCTATAAGCCTCGACTCAGCCTGCATAATTCACTGTTCCGTGCACTTGTCAGTAAAACAGGAGGCACTGCGAAGCACAATCTCAGGCAGGCTGAATTTGTCTACCACAATATAGTCACAAGTAACCTTGCGGTGCACAAGGATATTTATGCGGGGCTCATCTGGCTCCACAGCTATCAAGATGTCATTGATAGAGACAGGATCAAAGCTCTTAGGGACGAGATGAAGCGAGCCGGGTTTGAGGAGAGCACTGATGTGCTGGTGTCACTGATGAGAGCCTTCTCCAAGGAAGGGGATATTGAAGAAACTGAGGCAACATGGCATTGGCTTCTTCGGAGTGGTTGTGAGCTTCCTGCGCAGGCTTATATCTGCCGAATGGAGCTTTATGCATGCACTGGTGAGCCTATGAAATCCCTAGAAATGTTCAAGGAGATGAAGAATCAGAACATCCCTCCTAATGTCGCATCATATCATAAGATTATTGAGATTATGGCAAAAGCTAGAGAGATAGAGATTGCAGAAAAACTCATGGATGAGTTTGTTGAAAGTGATATGAAACATCTGATGCCAGCCTTTCTTGACTTGATGTATTTGTATCTGGATCTGGATATGCATGAGAAATTGGAACAGACTTTCACAAAATGCCTTGGCCGATGTCGTCCAAATAGAATATTATACACCATTTATCTGGAATCAGTTGTGAGGATTGGGAATGTCTCAAAGGCCGAGGAGACCTTTGGTGAAATGCATAAAAATGGGATGATAGGTACTAATGCTAAGTCTTGCAACATCATGCTTAGAGGCTATCTTTCAGCAGAGGACTATCAGAAAGCTGAGAGCATTTATGAGTTAATGTGTAAAAAGAAGTATGATATACCAATGGATTCTTTGGAGAAACTTCAAAGTGGCCTCCTCAGTAGCAAGAAAGTTGTTAAGCCACCAAAACCTGTGAGTATGAAGTTGGATGAAGAGCAGCGTGAGATTTTGATTGGTTTGCTCCTTGGAGGCACTCAAATAGAATCTCATGCACAGAAAGGGGTCTACATTGTCAATTTTAAGTTCCAGGAAGATTCTAATACTCATTCAGTTCTAAGGGTGCATATTCATGAACGTTTCTTCGAATGGCTGCCTTCAGTACGCAGATCACTAAACACTGAGAGCGAGATCCCTTATCGGTTTTCAACCATACCTCATGCACATTTTGGTTTCTTTGCAGATCAGTTCTTTCAGAAAGGTCAGTCTGTTCTCCCAAAACTCGTCCATAGGTGGCTTTCCCCACGGGTTCTGGCATATTGGTTCATGTTTGGGGGCTTCAGACTGCAATCGGGTGATATTGTTCTTAAGGTCAGTGGCGGGAACATTGATGGTTTTGAGAGAATTGTGAAAACCTTGCAAACACAATCTTTAACATGTAAAGTGAAGAGGAAAGGAAGATTCTTTTGGATAGGTTTTCAGGGAAGCAATGCCGACTCTTTCTGGAGAATAGTTGAACCTTATGTATTGGACAGTTTTGCTAGTTCTACTGAGGAAAGTCACAATGTAGGTTCTGATGGCTTGCAAGATAGTGATACATATTATGATGATGATACACAGAGGCATGATAGAGAAAGTGATGAGTGAGGACATACTTTGTTCACAAGCAGTCTACAGGCTCTGTAACTTCATCAAAATTATGAGAAGTCTATAAATTTGGTTAGAGGTACGTCATGCATACTTTCCTACTAACACCTGTCGCCCAGATTGATCTATCATCTATCCCGCTGATCGTCTGCGGTTGTAGTCTTGTACTCTAGACAGTCCTTGAACAGAAAGATATATGGGTAGCTTGGTGGATTCCCATGTCAGTTTTCGATTTGCACATATGTTCAGTTTTTGCTGTCCATTCGTTTGTTGGGCTCCAAGATTTCCAGCAGAAAATGCGCCATGTTCAGAAAGCCAGTTACAATTACGACAGCATATTGGAACATGCCACTTTGCAATGCAACCTAGAGCTTAAAAATTCACCTGCAATCACCTAACACTATTTCCATGTGAAGAAGAATGAACAAAACAATCCTAGTCAACTAGTATATATATTAATCTATCCTAATTTCTTGCTGGAGCTACCATGGAATCCTAGGTCCCTAGACTAGAGATCTCCTTGCAAGAGCCTGGTCAGCAAGCTTGTCAGAAGCGCATCCCTTCTCTCAGCCCTGTCCTCCTCCCTCATCCTCCTCTGCTCCTCGCGCTCCACCCATGCCTGCTCCAGCATCAGTCTCTCCTGCTCTATCCTCCGCATCGATTGGCGCCATTGCTCTTCGAAGAACAGCCGCTCCTGCGCCTGCCTCGCCATCATCTCCTGACGCTGCACATCCAGGCGGAGCTGCTGCTCGAAGAAGTCGCGCAGCAGGCCACGAATGGCGGACGTCGTCGTCGACGTCTGCGCGGCCTTCGTGTTTCTGCTTCGTCGGGGCGGCTCGTCGCCGCCGCCGCCGTCGTCGTCAGGTTCCTCGCGTCCCGACGGATCAGCCGATCTTTTCTGCTTCTTTCTACCGGCTGCTCCGACCGGTTCAGACCCATGGAGCTCCTGGCTCTGCATGTTTCTTGTCGTCGTCGTCTTCTCTTCTGGTCCAGATGTTTCGTTTTCCCTGGTGAAAATGACTGGTTGGTTACAATGACAAACATGGAGGCACCAATCCTTGTTGCGATTCTCGACAGTCTTGAACGGAACCGATGTGGATGAAGAGACTGACCTTGTTGTAGCGTCCGACGAGGCTCTTCCTCGCTACCACTCTTCAGTATTCGGGGATGCAGCGCCGCTGATCTCTGCGCGTGCCCCCGAAGCTGCGATGGCCCTCGCCCCTGCGCGCCTCGCTGTGGCAGCAGCAGCACCCTCTCGGCCTCACCCGCTCCTGCCTGCCCGCGCGCCGTCAGATTTTGCATTCCCAGGCGTGGCGCGACTACATAAAGGAAACGCGTACGTGCTGGTGAATGTGGAAGGCGAGACCGCGTGGGGGGCGTCTGACACGACCGGGAGACGGGGTTAGCCAGACAGCGGCCGTCGTTTTTTTTTCCCTTTCGTGTTTTTTCATCGCCTTTCTGACGCTTCCTGACCTCCTCGACGCTGCCAAAATTCACCATTTCACACATCCCCTGCAGTGTGAATGGCTTTGCTCCTGTCCACACGGGCAGTACAGCTCGCCACGTCATCCTGGAATGGATCCTCGTGGTCTAGTCGCCCGACATGTTGATCCGTACTATGACCGTATGGAATGTCGCCGATCAGTGCCGGTCCTAGAATTTTAAGGGCCTCCTCAGGAACATGTATAAAATCTTATAATATATAGACATTAATTTTACTTGTAAAACAAAAGTAAATTTAATAATATATTTTTAATTTAACATATCTGATAATTATCGAGGAATAATGTAGATAAAAAAAACAATATATTCATTTTCTTTTCTCACCCATGACAAATTTTATTTAGATAATATTCTAAAATTCTAACACCTAAATTAGAAGAAAAATATGACTATATGGGTACAAAGCACTATAAGTCTGGAATACTATACAAATAATTAATTTAGATTAAAAATAAAAAGGAAAAAATACCTTAAGCCTAAACAACTGATCGGTGATCGCAGTTGGTAAGAAGCCAAGAATCAAGATGTCGTCGTCGTGGAGCCCTGCCTTGTCGCCGTCCTTGTGTGCCGTGTCTCCAGTAGTCTAGCTCTTCGCGGTGGCGTGGCTCGTCAGCTCCGCGTGTGTAAGACGCACGTCGCGAACTCACGATCAGAGTGTGCTGTGTGCAGCGTGACTCCTCGCCTCCTCTCTACTCGAGGGCCGTGGAGAAAGAAAACTAGGAAAGAAATGTCGATGTTGTCTTTTTGACCGTCTGACCAGTTCTATGTCTTTCTTCTCGTTAGTTTGCTAATGACTAATAGACTGTAGAACCTAGGGGTTTATATACATGAGATTAGACCCCTCCTCCGTTTGGGCCCTCGGCCGTCGCACCTCATGCCCTACCTAGGGCCGGCACTGCCGCCGATGGGACATCTCGCGACGCGCACTTGTTGTTTGTTTCCAGGTGCAGCGGCTAGCCGCTAGCGACATTGATCCGTGAACTCTTCTGTCTTCTCGTTCAGCACGGCTAGGGGGAGCTGGCAGGAAGGGCGGCCGTCAACGCATCCGCCGCGCGCCTTCGCACGACAACGATGACGTGCACGCAGCACGCAACACAGCACGCACGCGCGCCTGGCCAGATCGGAACATCGCTGACAGTCGGAACGCGCCGCCACCGCCCGGCCCGGCCGTTCTTCAGTATTTTTATCCCCGAGGGCCTAAGTTTTTTTCTTCAGCATTAAATATAGATAAAAAATTTTACCCTTTCCGAAGAAATTACGATCTTTTAATTCTTACGAATCTTGAGGAGGAGGATCGATTAAATCATCGATTCCTACCTCCGATCTAAACGAGGCCGAAGGAGGAGGAGGAGGAGGAGGAGCGTCACGATGAGGCCATTTATGATTAGTGCAGGTGACGGTATCACGGTACATCTAGTCACATGCGTGTCAGCGTGTGGGCAGCGGCGGCGGCAGTACGACAGATCGAGCAGCCGAATCCTGCAAGGGTGCCGTGCTCCGTGCAGAGGCATCCGGCGCTTTTCTGCAGATTCGCCCCGGCCCTGGCCCCGTCACCCCGCCAGGCTTCAGTGCCACTACTCCAATGTCCAATCCACTGACCACCGCAAAACGAAGATGCCGGCGAGAGAGACGCCGTCCCCAGCTCTTGGCGCCAGTTTCCGCGCTCCACCGAGGTGCACCGCCACCGGGGCCATCGACCACGCGGCATGGCGTGGCGGCGTCAACATACAGGTTCTGTTCTAGTAGTTCTACCGGGGTCCGGGGCTCCTGGGCTAGATTTCACACCTTAGCAAGGCTGGGCCGAATTCTAGAGGGTGCGAACGGCCCGTTGCCACAGAGTCTACTGGTGGCGATGACAATAATTGGGTGGGGGTCGCTTGCTGTCAAGGGTAACTGGGTAAGGCCCACCTCCGCTGTAAAATTACAGTAGCATGGCACTTATCACGTGAGCTCCAGCCACCGAGGCCGGCAGACATTCCTGGAGATAATCGTGTCTGTCTGATCCCCAGCACAGTCTCCGAGGGTGTATTTGCTATCGTATTCGTGTACGGTATACGGCAGCGAGGATATTGGAAAGGCCTCGTTGATATTACACGAGACGCCGGATATCGCAACGAGGACGAGGATGGAAGTGACGAATCTCAGCAAGGCGTACACGGCTGAGCACCTGACATTTTCACTTCCCTGCATTCCCTCCAGGAATCATTCAGAAGCAGCAGAGTTCGCCCGTCCTCTACCCCCACTCTCCTTCTAGAGCAACACGTATGACGATCGCGTGCACAAGCACAGCCCATAGCATGTACGAATCTCAGCGATTCAATTCACCACCCGCAGTCCCCACCACAGCATCTACGGCGCTGTACAGCATTGCGGTCGGGCCATGACCGCTCCTCTGGACAACCCTGTTGTTTGGTCTGGTTTGTCAGGCTGATAAGCAATGAATCAAAATATTATTGGCTGATTTAATGCGAGAGAAAAATACTATTTGTTGGCTGAAAAAATACGACCAAGCAAGTCCAAACAAATAGGGCAAGAAATGGCAGCAATTGAATGGCACCTGGTGGCGTGGTGATCGTTGCGTCGGGTATGCGCACTCGGCACCCCGCCAAACAACCAGGCACGCAATGTTAGCCCACAGGATTATCGACTCAGGTGAGTGAACCACTCTTCAGTCTTATCGAGCATCCGTTAGTGTTGCCGAGCACCCATTAGCTAAGCCGACCACGGACAAGCGTTGTCCGTCTCCACACACTATGTCTAAAGGTTGAAGAAGAGGGAGAACAAAACATACACACACAGTATAAGACACCAGCGTTGACCGAAGTCCTGTATGGGAGATGGTAAATCTGAAATCTATTTACTGAGTTACCGTGGTAGTTTATTTATACAACTCTATCTATCTAGTCCTAGTACAGCGCACATGCTCGTAATAAGATAACTAGATAACACAACATGAAGGCGACTCTCATGGCGGCCTCTACATGTGGCTCTACAAAGGTCGCAGTGAGTTGTTCGGCGCCTGCACTGCAGCTGACTCTGAGATCACAAACAGGAGCCTTTTCGGCGCCGCCTTCCCCTTGTTGTGTGTTCACGCAAGAAAGCAATAGATTATTCTAACAATTTTTCATATATCCTACTGCTATACCTTGTACCCCTTCCATGCCGATCATCTCCTTCAGCTCCGTGAGTTGAAGACGTCCAAGCGGCTTAGTGAGGACGTCCGCGAGTTGCCGACCAGTTTCGACGAACTCGATGACGATCTGCCCTCCATCGACATAGTCCCTAAGGAAGTAGAACTTCACGTCGATGTATTTGCTCCGGTCGTGCAGAACCGGATTCTTCGCGAGGACGATGACGGGCTGGTTGTCCACCATCGATCTTTGGTGGGTGAGCTTCACACCGATTAGTTTCGCCGGCAGCCCGGCGCGAGCCACACAACTTGGCACGCCATTGTGGGCGCCGCCACGTGCACTTCGCCGCATGACGTAGATAGCGCCACCACCTTTTGTTTCAGCGACAGCCATGAAATTGGAGCCGACCCGAGGAAGACGAACACTCCAGAGACGCTCCGCCGTCCGTCGATGTCCCCCGCCATGTCTGCATCGCTGAATACAGTGAGCTGCAGCCTAGTCCCGCCGGTCTTGAGAAAGATGATCTCTTGATCCACCGTCCCCTTGACGTAGTGCAGTACCCACTTCACCGTAGCCCAGTGATCCTCTCTGGGATCCTCCATTAAGAGACTGACATAGCCCACGACGAAGGCAATGTCCGCCTCGTGTGGACTAGGTAGCGCAAACCACCGACGATACTCCGGTAGAGTGTTGTATCCACCTTCATCGCGGTGCTGGCCTTTGTCAGCTTCAGCCGCTCCTCCATCGGAGTCACGCATGGCTTGCACTTAGCCATGTCGCTCCGCTCCAATAGCTTGGAGGCATACACACTCTGACCGAGCGTGAGTTACTCTTTCCCCTGTCTCACCTCGATGCCGAGGTAGTAGAAGAGTGCGCCGAGATCGCTCATTCGAAAACGAGCCGCCATCTCGCGCTTGAAGCTGTTGATATCCTCCGTGCGCGCGCCAGTGACGATCAAGTCGTCCACATACGTGTCGCCGACGAACTCCTCTCTCTCCTCCCGTCGCCGCGTGTAGAGCGCGTGCTCGGTTACGCACCGCTAAAACCCAAGCTCGCCCAACATGGCGTCAAGCTTGGCGTTCCATGCTCGCGGGGCCTGCCGCAGCCCGTAGAGCGCCTTACGTAGTCGGAGCACCCTGTGCTCCTCTCCCTTGACGGCGAAACCTAGAGGTTGCCTGACGAAGACCGTCTCTGCCATCTCGCCATTGAGGAAGGCCGATTTAACGTTCAAGTGATGGACGCGCCAATCCTTTGTTGCTGTCAAAGCTAGTAGCAAACGAACCGACTTCCATGCGCGCGCTGCTTGGCACAAAGACCTCCTTGAAGTCTATGTCCTCGCGCTGAAAAAAGTCTCGGGCGACGAGGCGCGCCTTGTGCTTGACAATGGCGTCGAGCTCGTCCCGCTTGACCTTATACACCCACTTCAGGCTGATCGGACGGCATCCTGGAGGTGGATTGATGAGCTGTCATGTCACGTTTTCCTCGATCGTCTCGATCGCCTTCATCTCCTCCAGCATCGCCCATCTCCGGTTTTCATCCCGCTCGGCTAGCGCGAACGTGGGTGGTTTCTCTGCACTGACGAGCAACAGCTCTACGTCATTGAGCAGCCGACTAGCCAGTCCTGAGGGTCCTGTGCCGCCGACGATGTTGTCCAGCTTGCGGAACCACACCTCCTCACCTTCGTGGAAAGCATCCATGAACTCAGTGATATCACCAGGAGGTGAGGCGAATTTAATCAGTGTTGATGGAGTTCCCTATTTCGCCAGAGTGCTCGGCACAGCACCTGGAGTGCTCGGCACCCTGGTTGCAGTGGTGCTGGCACTACTTCTGGACAACTCGTTACTACTGCAGTGTTCGGCACCACTGTAGGAGTTCTCAGCCTCAGTCTTGGAGTGATCGGCACCATTGCAAGACCTCTTGGCTTTGCCATGGGAGTGCTCGGCACCCGTCCTGTAGTGGTCGCCACCACTGTAGAACCTCCCTAAGCTGACACTCTGGCGTGCTCGGCAGAGTGCTCGACCTCCAAGAGTGCTCGTTATCCTCCCGGTGTGCCTTTGCTCAAGAGTGCTCGGCTCTCTCATTGAAGTGTCTCCTCTGAGTGGCACCTCTTTCCCAACGTCTCCACCACCATGGATGACCAGGTGCTCGACGACGAAGATATTGGTGAAGCCGTCAGCTTCTCCATGCTCGGACTGCTCCAGTCTCAAGCTGTCTTCTCGTCGAACACGACGTCGTGCGAGACAAGTACATTGTCTCGCGTGGGTCGTAGAGTCAGTACGCCTTGGTACCCTCACTTGTTAACCCACAGGATCCCTGGCTCAGGTGAGTGAAACACTCTCTAGTCTTGTCGAGCACCCGCTAATGGCTAGAGGTTGAAGAAGATGGAGAACAGAGCATACACACATAGTACAAGACACTCAGCGTTAGCCGAAGCCTTGTATGGGAGATGACAAATCTGAAGTATCTTTTCTGAGTTGTCGTGGTAGTTTATTTATACAACTCTATCCATCTAGTCTTAGTAGAGCGCACATGCTGCAACAGTAACTAGATAACACAGTAGGACTAACTTTGCATCGACCTCTGTATATGACTACAATACTACAGGTGAGCCGTTCGACAACGCTATATTATCACAGCAGGAAACCTTTTCGATACCACCTTTGTCTTGCTGTGTGTTCACTCAAGCAAGCAGACACGCAAAAGGGACGAAGGCACAAACGACAAGCCCGGCCCGGCGGTCGGCGCGGGAAGGGAGAGCGGAAGGGCCGACGCTCGGCAGGCGTCAGGCGCCAGTCACGCGGTGGGGGGAACCCGAAAAGAGAAAGGGCAGGGCTGGGATACCTTTCGCGCTGTTGCCTGGCTGTTATTGGGTTCCCCGTTCTGCTGCTCTGCTCGGCCCTCTGCCCCTGGCCTGCCGGCCTCCCTCCTTCCCTCCCCGTGACTCGCCGCCGCGCCGCGGCGTCCAGGTTCGTTTCCGTCTAGTACAGCGGTTGGTTTGGTTCTGCTGGGTGGGTGCGTGCTTCCGTCGGCTGGTTTCAGCGGCACGCGCCGTCCGTCTCATCTCTCGCTTGCGGCTTGCTTCTCAGGGATGGCGGACGGGAGCCTCTACGCCTGGTGGTGCTGTGCCGTAGCCTGCGCGCTGGCGCTTGTCGCAGCGGACGGCTTACTCGTGGACATCACCTATGTGGAAAGCGCCGTGGCCAAAGGAGCAGGTGAGCGCAGCTAGCTGCTCTTCTTCACCGATTCATTCATTCCCTGCCGCAGCACGTCGGTCCTGCGCAGTGTGCGGTTGGTGGCCGGTGGAAATCGAAGGGTCTGATGCGTCTATGCCTGATGGATGGATGTTTTCGTTCCCAGTGTGTTTGGATGGTAGCGCGCCGGCGTATCATCTCGCCCGCGGCTCCGGCTCCGGTGAGAACAGCTGGCTGGTCCATTTCGAGGTTAGCTTCTTCCAACTTGCAAGGAGAATAATGGTCAATCTGCTTCAACTATTTTTATATGTTCAGTTCAACTCAGTGCAGTAGTGCACTCAATTGCTTCAGGGTGGAGGATGGTGCAACAATGTCACGACCTGTCTGCAGCGGAAGGGCACGCGGTTGGGGTCGTCCAAGGAGATGGTGACGCAGATTGCCTTCTCTGGAATCCTGAGTGACACGCCGGATGGCAACCCAGGTACTGAATTTTCAGTAGTAGCTGCCCGGTGGAGAATTACTCTCTCTTTACTGCTGTAGTACTGCAGTATCATCTTCGTTTTGTAGCAATTCAGACCACCTAGACCTGTAGCTTCACATGCTGAATGCCTGTGCAACCATCGAAACCAGACTTTTACAGTTGGAACAAGGTCAAGGTTCGGTACTGCGATGGTTCATCTTTCACTGGCGATGTCGAAGAAGTTGATCCTGTGAGTCCATACTCCACGATTTCTCAATCTTCTGCTTTTTTTAAAAAGATCCTGTGTTTTTTTTCTTCTTTTCTTTCAGATCATATGATGTTGCAAGAAAATCTACTACCATGACGCCCCACCTAATTTCCCCTCTTTTGCCTTTTGTTTAGACAAAAAAGCTACACTATAGAGGTGCGAGGATATGGCGAGCTGTCATGGAGGACCTGCTTGCCAAAGGGATGGACAAAGCTGAAAATGTGTGCATTCTTACACGCATAGTTCTTGGCAACCATAATGGTTCGCAAGACTAACTAGATTGAGGCAGGCTCTAATTTCAGGCTGTTCTGCTGGCGGTTTAACCTCCATACTACACTGTGACAGATTTCATGACCTTCTGCCGCCGGCTGCGAGAGTTAAATGCCTTTCTGATGCTGGGTTCTTCATTAATGAGTAAGACAATATCACCTCCACTAGTAGCCATCCCACAGCAAAAAGAAAAACCACAAATGTGATTTTTGAGCCTTTAAAATATAGTTCACATTATAATAAACAAAGTGTACATTACTCTGTTCGCTTCTTTTATAATCCGGCTTTTTTGGCTTCTTTTTTCAGCCGGAACAGTGTTTTTCTCTCACAATAAATCAGCCGGAACAGTATTTTGACTTCTTTTTCCAGCGAAGCGAACGGGGAATGCTTTTCTAACATATCTGATCCTTTTGCTGACAGGAAAGATGTTGCTGGAGTTGGGTACATTGCTGCTTTTTTCAACGATGTGGTTACAACACATGTACACACTTTTTACTTACCCTTTGTAGTACTAATAAATGATGAATATCATGTGGGGATAATTGCAACACATCCATTGCAAGATAACGAGAGGATTCCTACGCCTCAGTTCAGCTGATTAAATGAAACTTATTTCATTTTGCAAGTCCAGAATACATTGTTCACCTGTTATTCTATAAGCTGATTACATTGTTTTCAAATGGCTTAGGGGTCAGCAAAGAATTTACCGCCTTCATGCACTTCGATGTTACCTCCAGGAATGGTAAGATATAAATTGCAAGCAGCATCACAATGCACCTGTAGCCAGGCAACACATTTCACGCACTCAAAAGTACATCTTGCTTTGGATGCAGTGCTTTTTCCCCCAGAACGAGGTGAAACAGATACAGACACCTCTATTCATCCTCAACGCAGCATATGATTCATGGCAGGTTATCATTCGAGGATCTTCGTAACTGTAAATATGGGTGTCTTCCGTTATTGTTACCAACCTTTCTGGTGTTGTTGTCATATACACATTCTTGCTGCAGGTAAGGAACATTTTGGTGCCAGGAGTTGCTGACCCTCATGGTCAATGGCATAGCTGTAAGCATGACATAGGCCAGTGCTCTGCATCGCAGCTACGGGTATTGCAGGGTTGGTGCTATTATGTCTGCATTTTCCAACAGGCCTGCTATGTCCATGCTTAACTAGTCATGTGGTTCAACATTCGGTGCAGGATTCAGGGGTGATTTTCTGAAGGAAGTGTCTGAACAGTGGAACTCCGACTCAAGAGGGTTGTTCATAAACTCATGCTTCGTGCACTGCCAGTCTGAGTCGCAGGAGCTATGGCTCTCATCTGACTCCCCCATGCTCGGAAACACAGTAATGCACAAAAACCCTGAAGCTTACATTTCCAATTGAATTAACTCGGGCTTTCAAAGCATGAGTACATTTTATGTTCAATCTAACGGAGTTTTTCTCACCTGTGCAGACAATAGCAAACGCAGTTGGCGACTGGTTCTTCAACCGCAGCTCCTTCCAGAAGATAGACTGCCCGTACCCTTGTGATTCGACCTGTCACAATCGGATCTACGAGGACTCATCACAAGCATAGCAATTACAGTGGCCTCACTTCGTACTGCCATTCACCATGTTATTACATTTGACGCTCCAGCATTGCTAACAGTAGGGCAATGCGTTGATAGCCATTGATTTTTCATGAATAAGATCCCGTGCCGACGGCTAACTCGGTTGGTACCTGTCGGGGATCAATATAGGGTATCCGAAGAGGATGAGCTAATAACCATCAATATTGATTTATCCGAGCAGTCAAGAGCGCGACTACAGCTCCAATCGACCTTCAGGTGTGCAAGCTCCGCCTCGCCTGGCCTCTGGGGGCGGGCTCCGCCTTGCCCGACCTCTGAGGACGGGCTCTGCCTCACCCGACACCGAGACCACGGGCTCCGCCTCGCCTGACCTCTGAGGGCGGGCTCGCCTCGTCCGACCTCTGATGGTTGGCTCTGCTCTCGCCCGGCCTCTGGGGGGACTCCGCCTCGACCAACCTCGAGGACGGGGGATCCGTCTCGCCCGACGAAGACCCATAACGTCGTCAACCACTCTAGGTCCAAGCGAATGGGTCTGGGTCAAAGCTCTGACACTAGAGAGGTGACCGACACGCCCTGAAATTATCCATGGCCGTGATGGGCCATACCTAGGGATTCACAATAGGAACGTCGGGCGTACCGGTGCTGTTCTGCCTAACCCTCGTACGAGCACTGACAGACGCGTCAATTCTCCACGACGTCCGCCAGGACGGAGTAGAGCGCCACGACCGGGAGACGACGCATGCGCATGGCGCCAATGACGGACAGGGCCGCGACGTGGAGTTGTCCCTGTTGACGTCTATAGGGTCGGTGGGACCCACGTGAAGGAAACGAAGGACTCGACGATCCTAGAGGACTTCTCTTCTTCTCTTCTCCTTCTCTTTTCCTCCACTGTAACCCGTGCTTTCCCTTGGCCCATAAAAGGAAAAGCAGGGCGTCCCATATGGATCATCGCAACACATCGCATCAATTGGGACTCGAATCCATCGAACCCCGAACCGACCAGAACACACAAGCACACATCCGGGAAGCGACCGAGCTCTCGGCACCTGTTCGCTCCTCTCACCAGAGACTTGGGATCCGTCCCTCTCTCGACCATTTGTAACCCATACTACGAACTTTCAGTGTTAGTAACATGAGCAGCGAACAACGAACTTGATGTAGGGACATTATGCCCGAACCAATATAAATCTCGTGTTCTCTTAGCACACTATCCGAGCCAAACGCGCAATATTAGAAATTTACTAGTCGATGGCAACTTGAAACATTGACTGTTGGCGCGCCAGGTAGGAGCCTTTTGCGCGTCTCGACATCCACACCAGGCCTTGGATGGCTAGTCACAATCTCAGCTGGGTCCCGGGCGTGCATGTGCGCTTCGGGGACCTAGACTTATAGTTGGCCATGCAGCCCGAGCCCGTCGGCCCGACCCAATGCCCGTTTTTTTGGCTCAGCCCAAGCACGGCCCGACCCGGTGGCTAGCGGGCCCGAGCTGGCTCGGCCCGAAGGAGCAGACCATGCCTGGGCCTTACCCCAGGCACGTGGGCTGGCATGGCACGGCCCGCTCTAGAACCGGAGGCTCGCTGGCGGCCCGGACTGCCGCCTCCCCACGCCCTCGAGCCGCGCCCCAGCTCACCTCCCCGGCTCCCCTAAGCCTATCTCATTTCCCTGTATCCCCAGTCGCCGTCCCCTTTCCCCTTTCCCCAGCCACAAGTAGCATCGGCGTCGCCTCACTCTCTCCTCTCCCAGGTGTCAACGCGCCTCGCGTATCACCGGGCACGCCTCCTGGCTCGCCGTCGTCACTCCTCCACCTGGCTGCGAGCAACATCTGCATCGCTGCTCTCGCCTTCGACTCGCATCTCTTCTCTCCCTCGCTCCCTCTCTCCATTCGCCGGCCAGGTGTGGCACCGTAGGCTCCCCTACGTGTGTCGCACTCTCGCTCCTCCCCGCGCCCCGCCTGGCTCGCTCCTCCGTCCTTCCTTCTCCACTCCGTTGGTGAGGTACGTCGCCGTGGGCTCGAGGCTCCTCACCTCCGCTCGTCGGTCGGGATCCAGATCCGACGAATCGGCGTGCCGCCGCCCCCTCTGTGGAGTGCCCCTATGGCCCTACCTCCTATTGCTACACACGGCTGGATCCTCCTCGGTGGCGTCCACCGCCACCTCCCGTGGGCTGCCCTTGCCCTCCTGCCACGCGTGGGTGCGCGGCCGCCACCTCCAGCCGGATCTGCCTTGGGGACGAGCACGCCGACGGTTGTCGCCACCTTCCACGGCTGCCCCTATGTCCCCTTCCCTCTCTCTGTGGGCCTCGAGCGGAGCGGCCTTGATCCGGCCGCTACTTCATCGGACTCGCCTCCTCCGCCAGCTACTTCGCCGGATCCATCATCAAGCGACCCCGAGGGGGAGCTCGCCGACGGTCGCCGCCACCTCCACTCCTCGCCTCCCCCTCCTCTCTGTCACATTTGGTGGCCTCGGGCCAGCCCGACCTGCTAAAAAGGCCGAGCTCATCGGGCAAGCCCGGCACAGAAATTGGGCCAACAGGCCATGCCTGGGCCGTCGGCCAGGCATGATGGACTAGCGCGGCATGGCCCGGATGGCCCGATGGGCCCTTCCGTGCTATGCCCTATCGGGCCATGCCTAGCACGGGCCCGTGCCATGCCGGGCCGGGCCGGCCCGTTGGCCATCTATACCAAGACTTCATCGTCACGATGGAGGGAGAGTTGGCAATGGCTCCCGCCGCCGTCCGACCTCTCCACTCCGCCGGCCTCGACGCGATCGTTGAGGCACTTAAGGAGCTACAGCTACACGGACCAAAGGCCCACGCCCCCGAAAGCGACCAGCTCCTCGACTTTGACTATGGGAGGTTAGAATGCCAGCTCGGCGCCTTCCTGGGACCCCGACCGTCCCGGGAGTACCTGCGCCACCTCACCTTCTCTTTTCGCCAACATCATGGCGTAGCTTGCCGGAGGGGAGCCGCTCTCTCTGGAATACCCCATTCAGAGCGCCCCAACAGCGCTCCCGTTTAGTCTCCACAACGCCACAGAGACCGTTGGCCACCTTGTGGCGCAATGCGTGCCTCCTTCCCCATGAACGGTGAGTTCGTAGGGATGACCGAATATGTGGCGGAGTCTTTTCGTGACCTCCTCGCTGAAGAAACGGAGTTGCCCTCCGTGTCTGACTCTAGTAGGGGGAGCCATCACCCCTCTTGTGAATGTCTTATGGTAGGTACCCCCGAGGGACACGTCGAAAGCATCCATGAGGAGGAGGCTACCCCGACAAACAACCTCGATGATGAGGTCGAGGGGGATACAGGGGCTCCACCCCGCTTGCGGATGGAGCAGCTGAAGGCTCGGCACCAAGAGCTCGAGGAAGCATGAATCTAGCTCGAGCAGGAACGCGCGGAGCTCGATCAAGAGATTGAGCGCCACAAACACGGTGGGCGCGCGCGCGCCATGGCCTACTGGGACCTCAGGCCTTCGGCCGACACATCCTCAACACCGCCTTCCCGTCATGGTACCGATCACCAACCAACATCCCGAAATACTCCGAGGAAACGAACCCCGGACTATGGCTCGAGGATTATCGGCTTGCTTGCCAAGCCAGTGGAGCGGATAATGATGATTTCATTATCCGCAACCTTCCATTGTTCCTGGCCGATTTGGCACGAACATGGTTGGAACACCTTCTACCAAACAGAATCCAAAGTTGGATGGACCTAAAAGAGATCTTCGTGGGGAACTTTTAGGGCATGTACAAGCATCCTGGGAACACATGGGATCTCAAAAACTATCGACAGAAGGTCAGAGAAACCCTCCGTGGGTACATCCGGTGTTTCTCCCGGTAATGCAACGAGTTTCCAAACGTCGCCGACACCGACGTTATAGGAGCTTTCCTATCTGGGACCACCTGTGAGTCCTTGGTTCACAAGCTGGGACATAAGGGCCTGCCAACCATCAAGGAGCTCAGGCGAGGAGGTGGTTGGAGCGATCTTTGACCGCCTTAAAGGCAAGGCGAAGTGGGATGAGGACGCCAGCGAAGGCGCCTCTAACCGTCCCATCAAGAAGAAGAACAAGCAGCGGCGCGATGGCTCGCTCGTGGCCGCCGCCGACCGCAAGGGGGGCTAGAAGCCCATGGAGGGTACCCTAAACCACTTCGAGAAGCTGCTCGAAGGGCCATGCCCAAACTATTCCTTCCCCGTCAAGCATCTATATAAGGACTGTCGGCCTCATGAAGCGGTTCTTGTCCGGAGGCTTCAACAAGGGAGGGCATAGGAAGGACCCTGAGCTAGTGGAGGTCGCCAAGGAGGTCCTCATAGACCCTAGTGGCTCCAAAGGCAAAGCAGTGCGCATTGGCACCACACTTTCCTCTGAATAGGAAAGCGCGCTTGTCGGCTTCCTTCGCGTCAATAGAGACATCTTTACGTGGAAACCCTCGGACATGCCGGGCATTTTGAGAGAAGTCACCGAGCATGCCTTAAAGATCAGGCCAGGCTCCAAGCCATTGAAACAGCGCTTGTGTCGCTTCGACAAGAGGAAACGCAGGGCCATCGGCGAGGAGATCGCGAAGCTATTGGCGGCAGGGTTCATCAGGGAAGTATATCACCCAGAGTGGTTAGCCAATCCCGTCCTTGTACGAAAGAAGAGCGGGAAATGGAGAATGTGTGTTGACTACATGGGTCTCAACAAAGCGTGTCCAAAGGATCCGTTTCCTTTGCCACGCATAGACCAAGTTGTCGACTCCACCTCAGGGTGCGAAACCCTTTGCTTCCTTGATGCATACTCCGGGTATCATCAAATCACGATGAAAGAGTCCGATCAGCTCACGACATCTTTCATCACCCTATTCGGATCGTTCTGCTACATCACAATGCCGTTCAGTCTAAAGAACGCAAGGGCTATGTAGCCAGCATTGTATGCTCAAGTGTTTTGGAGACCTCATCGGATGAACCGTTGAGGCCTACGTGGATGACATCGTGGTCAAGTCCAAATGGGCTAACCAGGTCGTAGCTGACCTTGAGC